AACTGGAACTTGGTTTTCTTTGTTCTTTGTATTTCAAATTAAAACCCACTCTTTCTTTCTACCATTTTCATTAAGTATGTTTGGGACTACCCGGAGTATTCAAGAGTTTAAGCTTTCTAACTTAAACTTTGTCTTGACAGCCCCGCTTTCTTCATCTTCTAGCACCATCTTTTCTATTGCTTGAAACCACTTTGCCTTTTACCTTTGCTTGAATTATTTCTAAGGATCTTTAATTGTTGCCAGGTGATTAAGTGATTTCTTGTGCCAGTTAATAGTTGCTTGAGTGAAATTATATTCAGCTTTCTTAAGGTTTTGCTACCATTATAGTGAAATCTTCTTTAAGTATACTTGCTAATCTGTACTCTCTGTTTTTTGTTATAAGGTCTGTACTTCTGAATTTAAAAGTAATTCCTAGCTCTTTGGTATTTAGCATTATTCTACAAGCTAAGTTATTCTTCCACAAACGTTCACATGTATCAGGTGGCTCTTTGTACTATGTGTTTTCTTTTGCCCCTATTAATCTCATATCATGTATTATTCTTAATAATGTTAAAACTTCTTCTGTGCCTGAAGTATTTAGTCAAAGATGTAAACTTGAGATCTGTTTTATTAACAATCTATTCTATAAAACATTACAGCTACCAATGCTTTTATGTAGAACTATACTATTGTTGGTTATTTTTGCAAGTTTCATTTTGTTTTTTGTTAATATAAGTATAGGAACTATAGATTGTCAATCACTCTCTGTTTGAATCTAGAGGCTTGCAGGATATAGCACAACTTTGGTACTATACACATGTTATTAATATATGCCACCTGTGCTACAGATAGTTTCTTTGGGTTTAGGATTCTTGTAGTTGAACGGACAATTTCTTTTACTCTGGCTTTCACTAAAGACTCGTCTAACTTGTTGTTTAACCAGACTCCTAGAAATCTTGTAAAAATCTTTTTCCTTTTTAATCACTTTTTTAAAGATCTCATCATAATAACTACATTTTTTTGATTAACATAAAATAATCCAAGATCGATTGCAGTCTTTCTTATTTTTTTTAGGTAATCAAGATCGTTTTTTTTCAAGAATTCATTGACAAAATAATTTATATAATTGAACAAATCAAGAAATTTTGTTCGTTGTAAATTATTTGTCTTACTACATAGCGATAGTGAGTTTCGTAGCTCGATAATGTTTAAATATTTTTAATCTTTAAGTCACTTATATCCAAACTTAAATCAATATTTTGGCCCTTCAAGTAGAAATTAAATGATTCAATTAAATTTTTTTTATAATCGTCTTTGATGGTGATATTATTTAAGTAATCTATTGAAAGGTCTGAGCTTTTTATATAGTTAACGGTATCGCTTAAGGATTTTATCGGATGTTCGTCTGTATCTATTGAAGGGTCTAAGGACTCTATCGGATGTTTGACTATGTCTCTGGTATGATAATTAGGCATTAAATAAAATTCTTGAATTTTATTGAAGCAAGAATGTAATTGACATTTGAAACCATTAAAAAAATGTTGCAAAAATTGTACTAATGTTTGCTCAGATGAAAATTTTTAATTAATCATGTTTTTATTTTTGGTGAAAGATTCTTTGTCGGTAAATTGGTGGTATTTATTTATTTCTTCATCATTGTAGTGAAAGGTTCTATTAAATAATATAGAAAACCCAACAACAAGAACAGAAAAAAACAAGAGTGAAATCAAATTAATCAAATTATTATTCAAGACTAAAACCAAAGATATGAGAATCAAAATAGCGAAGACGAAAGAAATTAAAATGCAAGAAAAAATAATAAAGGAGGCTGTATAGACGAATCTTAGCAATAATGTTAAGAGCTTTAAACTGTTTTTATTTGACATTTTGTAATTATGATTTTTAGTCAATTCTAAAAACTATATTTTACATAATTCTTTAAATATATTTTTTCGTAAATGAACTTGTTCAAATAAGGGAAATAATTAAAACAATTTTGTTTTTATGCTATCTTTGCTAGCTGTGGTTATTCATATTACCTATTTTACAAAGTATTAAAAATGAAACTCTGAGATAAGTATGATTAATAATATTTTTCATGTATATAGTGCTGATCTGTTACGCAATTAATACGCGTATTTTTTAAATAAAATTTTTCCAGCATACAAATATGTGAAAAACTATAAATACTATGCAATAGGATTCCAAGAAAGTTGTAGCATACTATTGCAAAAGGCTTTGTTCAATGTTTCATTTTTCGTGAATATACTTTTAAATAAGAAAAATAAAAAAAATAGTAGTGATCTTTAAACAGTTTTTAATTCTGTTATTGTAATTTTTGTCAATTCTGAAAATTAGATTTTAATATATGTATTTTTTCGTAAATGAACTTGTTCAAATAAGTAAATTATTAAAACATCTATTTTTGCCAAGGTTATTCGTATTATCTAGAGTTAACAATATAAATTAATATATTGATACTTTAATAATGTTGATTTTGTTACTTAATTTAAAATACATATATATACATATAAATTTTATATACTGTATTTTAGGAGGATTAAAGGAAATAGTATAAAAGCTTCTATATTTTTCTCATATTCATTCAGAATTCCTATTATTTAAAATTTGAGAACCAAAATTATTAGAATAAATAAATATAAATCATTCGATTATTTTTAAAGGAACGAGAAGCAAGCATATTAATTATGAAAAAGAAAAGTAGATTAAAACATGCAAATACATCTCCTTATTTGATCTATCAAAATTTGAAAGAACAATTTGTAGACAACTATAATATACAAAGAACCAATTGTACGGTAGTCCTAGCAATAATTCTTCTTATAGAGGTTTTAATACTTTTTATTATTTATTGATAAGTAAAATTTTATTTGCTCTTTCTGTTAAACTATATATATATTTTAAAGCTTCGAATTTAATTTGTGGACAATTTGTAGCATCAAAAGTTATTGCCATTCATATTTGTATATTGAACTTTACGAGCCAATTATACATAGAACTTTTGGAGCTGACCAAACTTTGTATTTGTATACAATACAATTTATACAATTTATAACTGATTTTTTTACCGAAGTTATCAACAGAGGTAGAGGATTTGGACATTCAAATTATGATGGTTTAGTGCCACATTAAAAATAAATATACAGTAGAATCAACAAATATTTTTAGTTATGGTATTTAATAATTATTTTAAATTTTGTTTTAATTACTGCGTAGATAACAAAATTATTATCAATTGATATGCATAATAAAGTTCCACAGTATAATCATTATATATATTTAATCAAAGATCTACCTATTTACCTATTTACTTCGCCTCTATTAAACTAATTTCTGTTTAACTAATTTTATCATATCAAAATATTCCTTTAAAATTTTTTGTTACACTTATTACTTGTCAAATATTGTGATACAGTATATTATATAGATGAAGAGGAAACAGTAAAGACGGTTGAGAATGAAATTACTTACATAGATTCACAACTTATCGATTATATTAACAAATTAAATTTGAAAGTCAAATTTGAAAATGTTGTCAAACTGTTGAAAGTTGATGGTGAACTGTGGAAAGAATACCTTAGTAATGTCAAGTTTTATTCTGAAGATATGAAATACAAGAGTGAATAGATTCATGTCAGCACATTATTTGACCATGCAAATTTTGTTTTTAAACAA